TGGGACAGATGCATGACCTCTACGTGGAGCTCGCGCACATGCTGCGAGTTAATCTCATGGGTGAGCCTCGAGACCTCCCCCCCCCCTCCCCTCCCCTCCCCTCCCCCACGCCTTCCCTTTCCCCCGTTCCCCGTCCTTCCTTATCTCTCTCTCCCTCGGTCCTGCTGTCCTACTCTCGTGGTAAAATGATGTGGTTTTGCAAGTATCAATTGTGCAGCTGGAACCCTCATCTCACACCCCGTCTCTTTCATCTGGAGCCTATGCTTCCTTAAGAGGTCCAATTTACTTTCTGTCTACAAGTCCTCTTGTCCATTCTTGTGCTTTTTAACCGCTTCTCACCTCCCTCCCCCATTTGACCCTCCCTTTGCCGTCCCCATTCCCCTCCCGACATCCTGTCCTTTCCCGTTTCTTAGGTCCCTCCTTTGTATCCCCCCTACCCCTCGTCTCCCCTCCCTCTATGCTTCACTTGCCCTCTCTCTTCTCTCCCTTTCCCCCTCTTACATCCTCAATCTTCCGTCGACTCTCTTCCCATCACACGTTTTGCCACACCAGGTACGACTACACGGGGTACGGCGCCTCTACTGGCAAGGTACGTTCTTTCCGGCAAGGTACGATGGTACTTTACACGGGGGGAGTAACAGAAGCACGGGTGCGCTTGCTGTTAAGGTATATTCGCTGCCCTTTAACCGGGTACTGCTGCTTTCAGCCTCCATTGTGTTATCCGTTGGACAGCTGTTTGCGACTTCTTCCCCGATTCTCTTCTGACCGCCTCGATTCTCTTCTGACCGCCTCGATTCTCTTCTGACCGCCTCGATTCTCTTCTGACCGCCTCGATTCTCTTCTGGCCGCCTCGATTCTCTTCTGACCGCCTATATTCTTTCCTATTCGCCGTCATCCTCGTCCTCCAAGCCATGTTTGGGGCCGCGTCACGCCAACGCGTGGATTCGTGAGCACCCACCGGCGATTCTCCGCGTTCCCGCCTGCTGCCCCGCCCTGCTCAACCCCTCTCCGGCCCCTCTCCCTTTCCTCCCCCTCTCCCCATTCCCTCTTCCCCCGTTCTCTCCCCCTTCCCTCCACCCCCCCCCTCCCCCCTCCTTCCCCTTTCCCCTTCCGCAGCCGTCGGAGGCGGACACGTACGCGGACGTGGAGGCGGTGATGACGTGTCTGCAGCAGCGATACAGCATCGGCGCGGAGCAGGTGGTGCTGTACGGGCAGAGCGTGGGCAGCGGGCCGACGGTGGACCTGGCGTCGCGCACGCCCAACGTGCGCGGCGTGGTGCTGCACAGCCCCATCGCGTCGGGCGTGCGCGTGCTGTACGAGGTCAAGCACACCTACTGGTTCGACATCTTCCCGGTATGCTGTCGCGTCTGCTTCTGTGCTGTGTCTGTGCCTGTGCCTGTGCCTGTGGGTCTGTCTCTGTGTCGGCGGATTGGGGGTGATTGATGGCGTTGTGTGTGTGTGTGTGTGTGTGTGTGTGTGCGCGCGCGGTGTGTGTGTGCGTGTGTGTGTGTGTGTGTGTGTGCGTGTGTGTGTGTGTGTGCGTGTGTGTGTGTGTGTGCGTGTGTGTGTGCGTGTGTGTGTGTGTGTGCGTGTGTGCGCGTGTGTGTGTGAACATGTTTGCGTTCTGTGTCGCGTGTGTCATGCCATGTGTGGTTGACCGTACTGGGCGCGCACATGTGCGGCTGCGTCAAGTACTGTGAACAGACCGGGCTGGGCATCTCGTGGGAACGAAGAACAGGGAGGCGGATCAAGCTGATGCGCGCAAGAGCGAACGGAAAGCGAACAATTTGACGAACGCAACGCACAGATCAAAGCGGAGTTTTATCCCACGACGATGGGGTTAACTCAGAAGAGCGGGAATGGGGGAAGGGGGGAATCAGGGAAGGTGGGAAGGCGGGAAGGAGGGAAGGTGGAAGGTTGGAAGGAGGGGGCAAGTGCTTAGCAAGGGTCGAGAACCTTGTCGCAGCAAGATGCGTTTTTTTCATCATGCCCGCGCTCTGTGCTGTGTCTGCCACCTGCTGTGCGCTGCCGTGTCTTCCCCGCCCGCTTCCCTCCCTCCCTCCGTGCGTCTACGTGCACAGAACATTGACAAGCTGCCGAAAGTGGAGTGTCCAGTCTTCGTCATGCATGTAAGTCTTTGTTACGCTCGCCCGCTCGCCGCCCCTCGCTCGTTTCTTCCTCCTAGACTCATTGCCTTGCCCATCTACTTGTCGGTTGTCCGTCGGTCGTTCATAAGACACAGTGAACCCGAGAAAACACATCCAAAGGAACTGTCTGGTATATGCTGGTGCGCAGTTGTTGTAAAAACCCCTCACACTTCCGTTCTCCCTCCTGCCGTCCCTCCTCCTTTCCCTTTCTCCTCCAATCCGATCCCGTTCGCTCGCCCCTGTCCCCCTGATCCTTCCCTGTCTCCCCCCCCCTGTCCCCTTCGCCCCCCTGATGCACGTCGGACGAAATGCTGGTGAGTGCTTGCAATCCAACGCACGCCTCATGTGCCACCTCTCGCTCCTCCCGTTTCACCCTCAACTCCCCCCTCGCCCTCCACCCCCCCCCCTCCCCACACGGCCGCAACGGACGAGGCGAGGGATGTGTCGCACGGGCAGATCCTGGTGGACGCGTGCAACCAAATGCATGCCTCACACGCCACTTTCCGCACTCTTCCCTCCCCCCAACCCCGTCTCCCTCCCCGCCTTCCCCAACTCTTCCTCCCCCCCCCCCCTTCCCCCCAGGGCACGTCGGACGAGGTGGTGGATGTGTCGCACGGGCAGATGCTGGTGGACGCGTGCAAGCGGCCGTTTGAACCGCTGTTCCTGGAGGGCGGGCACCACTGCGACCTGGAGTTCTTCCCCGAGTACCTGCGCTGCCTGCGCAAATACATCTCCTACCTCGTGCAGCACCCCCCCGTGCCACAGCCTGACCTGCCCAGGAAAGCCAAGAAGGTGAGGAACTGAATTGAGCTGTACTGAATTGAATCGAACTGAACTGAATGAATTGAATTGAATCAATTACTGAATGAATTGAATTGATTAAATTGAACTGAATGAATTGAATAGAATGAATTGAACTGAATGAATTGAACTAAGCTGACCGTCCTTTCCACAAGCACCACCTCCGTTGCCCACCCCTTCCAGCCGCCCTCCTCCCTCCACTTCTCTTTGCCGTTCCCCTTTCACAACGCTCTTCCCCCCATCCCCCTCCCCCTCCCCCGCCACGTTTCCACCCCCTCGCCCGTTCTCCCCAGCGCCCTGGCTGGGGAACCCCCCTGACAGCCATCCGGTCCTTCGTGACCCCCAACCGCCACCGCCACCCCTCCGGCACCGCCTCTGCTCCCGCCACGCCCGTGGGCTCCTTCTCCTCCTCCTCCTCCGCCTCGCTCCCCACCTCCAACGGGAACGCGTCCCCTGCTGCTTCCCTCTCTGCCGACGACTCCTCCTCGTCCTCTGCGGCTCCCAACCCGCGCACGCGGTCGTGGAAGCTCAGGGCGCTGTCACCTGCGTTTCGGTTCTCCCCGTCCACGTGGCGGGATGCACGGAGGAAGAAGGGCGAGGAGGAGGAGAGGAGGGGCAAGGGGCGGAGCAGGAGGCGCTAGGAGTAGCAGGAGTGTCGCAGGGTAAAGCGCCTGGTGGTGCAGCCAGTGCTGCTGCTGCTTCGGCTGCTGCTGCTGTGGCAGCTCCTGCTGTGAATGGTCAGGCAGGTGAAGGAAATTCGTCAGCAGCAGCTGCTGCTGGTGGTGGTGTTGCGAATACAGGGCACACAGTAGCAGCGCCGGAAGTTGCTGCAATGGCTGGGGAAGTGGGGTCCAGCCAATGAGGAGACCATTGGGAGTCAGTCTGTTGAGGGCGGCTGGGCGGCTGGGTGGCTGGATTGGTTTGGTGTCGAGTTTGTGAGGTGGATTGCTGTTGGGGAAGCCAGAAGCCAGAAGTAAGAAGCAAGAAGTCTGACTGGCTGATACGCAGAGGGGGGACGGGGGTGTCTCTCCACTCCCTGCGACAATGGGTTTCCGGGTTTTATGGGTTGGAGGGGAGGAGGGTTGCTTACATGTGATGAGGGGAGAGAGCCCCACGCAGCCTGTGCTGTGCAGACGGAATGTCAAGAGTAGTGGCGCTGCTTGGTGCCTGGCCGTGACCCTTCTCTGCTTGACCTCTCTGGCTGGTTGGACTGTTCCGTGTTGTGTGTAACGCTGTGTCTTGTTGGTTTGTTCTGTTTGTGTGTTTTCTGTTGGGCGTGTGGCTCTGGCTCTGGCCCTGGCAATGCCCTGGTGTTGCATTGCGACCGGCTGAAGGTTGGATGACTGCTGCTAGACTCGCCGGCAGATGGGCTGAGGGAGGGGTAGGGAGGGAGACCTGGGCGAGAAACCTGGGAGTGCTAAAATAGACTGCTGCTGGCATTTAAGCGTTTCCTTGGGGGTTACAGGCTCCTCCCCTGCCCCACTCTTGACTCACTCACCTGCTCTTCTCACCTCTCACGCTCCCTCCGTCAATCCCTCCCTCCCTTGCTACCTGCTCTACCCTGTCCTTCCATCCACCCACATCTCAGTTCCCTCCCTCTGATGCTGCCTTTACTCCATTTTTCTTTGGGAATTTGGTTTCTTAAAGCGAGCTTACCCGAAGTTCAGCAGCCAGCATCCTCAGAGCATGGCGCCTCAGCCATTCACCACCACTATGTAGTGCCTGGGATTTTAATTCATACTGGGATCCCTTGTACACTGGATTGTCAGTTTGGAGCTATTTGTTGTGCATCTTGGGGATGCAGAAGCACACTTGCTCATCGCCTTGTTGCGAAGTGCCTGAACCGCTGATATCTGCGTCCATAACGTACTATTGTTGTCAATGTCATGGATGCTTGGAATCTCCTTCCAATCTGGTTTCGCTGACTAGTACAGTTACTGCAGCCGACGTGTCGCTAGCCTCTGTAACTCGTCGGTCTTGTAACGGGTACACTCGGCTTGCTGTCGCTTCCCCTCCGCAGCCTTTCCAGACTGCTCTCCTCCAGCCATGTCCGATCAGTTTGCCTCGATACACTAGCTCGGCGCTGCCCTGCTCTGCTCTGTGGTGTTTCAAGTTCGGACCGTTGGCGCTTTTAGGGGCGTGCCAGCAGTCGTTCGTTTCCCGCCTTTGGCACCATGTCTATTCACGTCCGCGTCGCGGCGTGCTCGCGAGTGGCCGAGGGTCAGCGCCACGCACTCCGTTCCACGGATGCGTCCCGCAGCACTGTGCATGCGAGCTCGCGGTCGCACACCGGTTGAATCGCATCGTAGGCGGAAGGGCAATCCATAGCAGCAGCAGCAGCAGCAGCTTTAGAAATGCGGGCGGGAGCGGCTGCAGCGGAGCGGGCCTCTCAGCGGCCGCCACGTGGCCTGGGTCACAACATCCTCCAGCTGCCCGCTTCGGATCATCTTCACCTGTTCGCTCCGAAGGCACGCGCAGGCATGATCGATTGCCGCTGCAGCGAGCAGTCTCGGTGCGTCGTGCGTCGCTTCCGTCAGGGGAACGGCTTACAGCCAGGGTACGCAATGTCCTTTCACTCAGGGTACGCAATGCCCTTTCGCTCAGGGTACGCAATGCCCTTTCACTCCATTTGATATGAGTCGACTCAAAACGAAACTCATATCACACGCTCCCGTCAGGAGAAGGGTTTACAGCCAGGGTGCACAATGCCCTTTTACTCCACCCACGCACGTGCACGCTGTGACCTGCTTTTCCGATGGGTGTAAATTTCCAACAGATGGGTCGAGTTGTGCACCCTGGATGTTCAGGGCGTGTTGTGGAGTGGCGTTTGGGGAAGGGAGAAGGGGGGAGGCGGTAAGCTGTGTGCTCGGAGAATAGTAATGATAAGGGAACGGGTGAGTATGCTGGTGGATGCGAGTGGTTGTGTGTGTTGTTTTAGAGATTGTGGATGATGTCTCACAGAGAGTGAGGGTGGGTGGTGTGCCGGTGTGGAAGGGGGGAGGGAGGGATCTGATGGAAGTGTCGTTGCATGTGGTCCAATACAAGAAAACGGAGACACACGCGTGCTCTGTCTCGTCGCACCTTCCTTACAAGCCCATTGCAGCTCGCCATAATCTCGCTCCTATTTCCCCCTGCCTCCTATGTTCCGTCTCCCCTCCCTCTCCTCCCACAGCCTTCAATCCGAATCACCTGTGGCTTCAGCAGCGGCAGGAGTGGCATAGGGAAGAACCCAAGCCCCGGCAACAAGCCAGGCAAACGCCCATCTTCCTCCTCCCCAGCTCCCTCCCCCACTTCCCCCTCCTCCTCCGCCGCCTCCTCCTCTCCACTCAATCCCCTTCAGCAAGTCCTAGCCAGCGTCTCGCAACAAGCCCAGGCAGTCCTCCCTCCCCCAGTCACAGCCTTCCCCTGGGCGTCCCTCCTCTCGTCTGTCCTTGCGCGCATGCACGCCCTTCTCTCTCTATCCTTCTCGCTCCTCCTTCTGCCGTACCTCCTCTCATCATCCCTAGGCGAGCTCGCCTTTGCTCTCAGGCAGGGTCAGGTGCTGCTGGCGGGGACAGCGGCGGTAGCAGCCAGTGTGGGGTGCTATTGGGTGGCGGAGGAGGCCGGGAAGGAGCAGGGCGTGCTGGTGAAGAGGGGAGGGGCTGTTGGCCGGGCTCTTGCGCTTGTGGCTCGGGTCAGTGCTGGTGTGGGTTTGAGTCAGGTGGCTTGGTTGGTTGGCTCCTATTCTCATTTGTGTATGCCGAGTTCCACATCGGTTTATGGTCTTCACTGGTGTAATATGCATGTGCGGGGTTTGCTCTCGTAGTGGCCTCTCACCCTTTCCTTTCTTTCCACCATTCATGTGTACCTAATATCGTAGCTTGGCCCCATGCTTCTCCGTGCTTGTGCCTGTGTTTCCTTTGTTCAGGACTCCACCAATTTACTGATGCTCATTGCTGTCGTTTGTGCGCTCCTCAAGGCCTCAGCACCCACCCTCCCTTCCTTTCTTCGTGTCATCGTACCATTTCTTGCTAATGGTAGTTTGGCTGCCGTTTTCGTGCGGTTAGTTTTGCGGCGTGCAGAAGTCAGCTTTTAGGTGTTCCTTACGTTATGACTCAACTGTAGAATAGAAACGCTTGATGAGCATAGCGCATTTCCCTTCTCAGACTAACTGGGTATAAGGTTTCTAGCTTCAATTGGGTCACATTATCAGAGGGACTTGCTTAAAGCCCCAAGCTAGAATAGCAAAACCACATTCAGGTATCAAATATATGTATAACTCATATTTGTATAGACTGTATAGGGTCACCTCTTAGAGGGTACAACACTCTTAGGTATATACCCTTGTTCTCTCTCTCTATCAAAACACTTGTTCAGTTTTCTTCTCGACATGGTATCACCCGTAGGTTCGACCCCCCCCCCCCCACCTACCGCTTCCGCCCATGCCTCCTAGGCCCCGTCGCGCGTTCCCCTAGGCCCCGTCGCGCCGCCGCCCCCTAGGCCCGTCGCGCCCCTCCTGGGCCCCTGCCGCGCCTCCTAGGCCCGTCGCGCCCTCCTGGCCCTGCGCCTCCTAGCCCGTCGCGCCCCTCCTGGCCCCTCCGCGCTCCTAGCCCGTCCGCCCCTCCTGGCCCCTGCCGCGCCTCCTGGCCCGTCGCGCCCCTCCTGGCCCCCCGTCCGCCTCCTCCGTCGCGCCCTCCTGGCCCCGTCGTGCCCCTGCCCGTCGCGCCCTGCCTGGCCCCTGCCGCGCCTCCTGGCCCGTCGGCCCTGCCTGGCCCCTCGGCCTGCCTGGCCCCGCCGCCCTCCTGGCCCCGTGGCCTGCCTGGCCCCGCGCGCCCTCCTGGCCCCGGCGCCCTGCCCGCGCGCCCCTGGCCCTGCGCGCCTGCCTGGCCCGCGCGCCCCCTGGCCCCCGCCTCCTGCCCCGCCGCGCCTCCTGGCCCCCCGCGCCTGCCTGGCCCGCGCGCCTGCCTGGCCCGCGCCTCCTGCCTGGCCCCGCCCCGCCTGCCTGGCCCCGCCAGCACCTGCCTGGCCCCACCGCACCTGCCGTGCCCCCCCCTCGGGCTCTGTCTCCTCGACTCGCCCGTGCTGAGGCGCTTCGTGGCTGCCGTGCTGACCGGGGACTGTCGCTGTGGTGCTGCGTCGCTGTGTTCCTGTGGAGCGGTGCCGCTGACCCTGCGCGATGGCGGACTTCGTGCTCCGACTGGACGCCGAGGGCCATGCGGTTGACTTCGCCGCCTGGCTCTCCGACCTCCGCCACCAGCTTACAGGTCAGCGCCAGGATGGCCATTCTTTGGTAGTCCATGTTGACGGCTTGCTCTCCCGCCCCCCCGCACCTGCTCCCCTCCCTGCTGATCCCTCCTCTGCTGACCGTGAGACCTTCTCTGCTGCTGCGCTTGCCTGTGCGGTCTGGGACTCCCGAGATGCAGTAGCTCAGGTTGCCATTAGCCACGCCCTCCCTGTCTCTGAGCGCTCGCGTTTTGCTGCTATTGAGACGGCTAAAGCCTATTTAGACGCTGTTATTGCCCGCTATTCCACACCCGCCTCTGCTTCTGCTGGTCGCCTGCTCTTCCCTATGCTTTTCCCAGACCTTGCAGCCTTCCCTACTGTCGCAGACTTTGCCACTCACCTGCGTGCCCAAGAGACCCGCTATCGCACTGCTAGCACTGCTGCCCAGCTCACTGCGCCCCCCCCCCCTTTCTGCATGATGCTCTACTTTATCGCCATGCGCCTGCCAGACCGCCTCGCTAGTGCTCGCGATCACTTACTTAGCCTACACCCGGCTGACCTCACTCTCACCGTCTTTGTCGACACCCTCACCGAGATCGAGACTCCCCAGCGCACTATCGCTCAGTCGAGCGGTGCGCCGGCAGTCACTTTCTTTCGTGGCTGTGCCCCCTCCCAGTGCACGTTCACTGACGTTTCGGCTGCGGTAACCACGGCCACCCCCCTCACTGAGACGGCTGCTGTGGTCCAGCCGCAGCAGCGCTCGCGCCGCAGTGGCCGTGGTCGCTAGAGTGGTCGGGGTGGTAGCGCCGGTAGTGGTGTTGGTGGTCGTGAGAGTAGTTCGTCTAGGGGGACTAGCCTCGGTGGTCAGGAGCAGCAGCCCCAGCCGCAGCAGGAGCAGCCCGCGCCGCAGCCGCCGTCTCAGCAGCAGCCGCAGTCCCCGCCGCAGCTCCCACCGCAGTGGGCTCGTCTCCCGTCTGGTTGGCCCGGCACCTCAAAGGTGGTGGCAGTAGTGGCGGCCCGCGCAGCTTGGCGTCTACCAGTGGCTCCGGTGCTGTGACCTGCCAGTACCAGCTTCAGACCGGGCCCCTTCGCGGCACTCTGTGTCGCCGCCCGCACCCGACTGCCCGCTGTTTCCGCCGCCTCGACGATCTCTTTCATCGTCGCTTTGGCCCGGCCCCGGACCTCCCTGACTGGCACCGCCTGCTCCGCCAGGGCGTGCCGATCTTTGAGTTAGATATGGATCAGATAGGTGCTGCTTTGCATGCTTTGTATTCTGACGCTGCTAGTGTTGCTGGATCTTATTACCCTGTGTTCTCTAGTTTAGGTGTTGCACCGCTGTGTAGCCTAGCCTCCCCTGCTGCGTCAGGCGTAGGACTGCCTAGTTTGTCTAGCCTCGTCTCTGCACCGGCTCCGTTCCCTGTCCCCGCCACTGCGGCGCTGTCCTTCACTCTCGACTCCGGTGCTTCTGCTTGCTTCTTCCGCGACCGTTCTGCGCTCACGCCGCTTGCTACGCCAGCTGTCGTCTCTCTCGCTGACCCCTCTGCGGGTCCTGTCGTCGCTTGCAGTTCTACGTCCCTTCCCTGTCCAGCAGTTCCCTCGGGCTCCCTTACAGGCCTCCACGTTCCCTCATTCTCGAGGAACCTGGTTGGTGTCGGCTGTCTTCAGGACCTCGGCGTCACCACCACGTTCCCCGGGCACGAGCGGTTCACTGTCTGTTCTGAGGCTGTCCCAGGCTCTCCCCTAGCGACGTTCCCCCGGGACCCAGTGTCCGGTCTGTTTACCCTAGACACCGCTTTCCCTCCGGTTGGTACGTCCTCCCAGGTTGCTGCAGCTTGCTCGTGTCGTTCCCTCACTCACCCGTCCCTCCTCTGGCACCACCGCTTAGGTCACCCTGCCCTCCCTCGTCTGCGTCACATGTCCCAGCACGGTCTTGTCTTAGGTCTCCCTGCGTCGCTCCCCGCCCTTCCTCCCTCGACTGTGCCACCGAGCACGCCTTGCGTCGAGGGCCGACTCCGCCGTTCTCCTCACTCCTCCTCGCTGCGCCCTGCTACTGCCCCCCTTCAGACCCTGCACCTGGACGTTTGGGGCCCTGCCCCCGTCCCCGGACCGCGTGGTGAGCGCTACTTCCTTGTGCTCGTTGACGACTACACGCGCTACACCACGGTTTTTCCCCTGGAGCGGAAGGCCGACGTGCCCGATGTTCTTCTCCCGTGGGTTGTGGCAGCGCGTCTCCACCGCAGTCTCCCCGTGTTGTGTCTCCGCTCTGACCGTGGCGGCGAGTTCGCTTCTGGTCGGCTTGGACAGTTCTGTCGTGCGGAGGGCATCACCCAGTTGTACACCTTGCCGGACTCGCCATGGCAGAATGGGGTTGCTGAGCGCCGCATCGGCTTGGTCATGGAGGTCGCCCGTACCTCCATGATCCATGCCGATGCCCCCCATTTTCTGTGGCCGTTCGCTGTTCGCTACGCGGCTCACCAGCTTAACCTGTGGCCACGCTCCCAGCGGCCGCAGGTTTCGCCGACCCTCCTTTGGACCGGGTCCCCCGGTGACGCGTCTGCGTTCCACGTCTGGGGCTGCCTTGCTCACGTTCGTGCCTCTGTCACGAACAAGCGCACTGCCCGCACTGTCCCCTGTGTCTTTCTCGGTTTTCCCCTGGACTCGTTTGACTGGCTTTTCTACCACCCGCTGTCTCACCGCTTCCTCCACTCGCGTGACGTCACCTTTGACGAGTCTGTCTCCTTCTACCGCCACTTCCCTCACCGAGGTCTCCCGGTTGCCCCGCCCCTGTTCCTCGCTCCCTCTCCCCCGGTAGCCCCTGCTCCTCCTGCGCCGCGTCCTGCCCCGTCTGGTGTCTCTCACGTCACTCCCCTCCCGTCGGTTGTCCTAGTTGAGGAGTCTGCTGACTCTAGTGGTTCCCCCGGTCTGTCCTTGCCGCGTCCCCCTTCCCCGGTACCTCCGCCCCCACTGTCGCAGTCGCCGACCCCGTTGCAGCCGTCGCCGCCGCAGTCGTCGCCGCCACTGTCGCGGTCGCTCGTGGCCCCCGGGGGTGCTGGTGTGGAGGCGGGTGTTCGTCCTGCGGCTTCTGAGGGTGCCGCTGGTGTTGGAGAGGGTTCTCGCTCTGGGGGTGCTGGTTCTGGGGGTGCTGCTGTTGAGCGTCCTGCCGACGGTCGTTCTGCCTCTCCTGGTCCGAGCGTTCCGGCCCCGCCGTCGTCGCCGCCGCAGCCGCCGTCACCGCCGGTGTCCGCTCTCCGCCTGCTCGGCCTTCCTTCCCCTGACCACTCGTCGGTGTCTCCCCCGCCGCCTGCGGACCTCCCGGTCTACGGTCCTGTTTTCCCGCCGCCGGACTCGTCTCCGGCCCGTCTTCCTCCTCGTTCTCCTGTTGTGTCCCCTCCGCTGTCTCCTGACCCTACCCCTCCGTCCCACGTTTGGTCCCGCCGTCCCTCTCGTGCCCGTCCTGCCTCTCCTGTCCTGCGCTCTCACCCTATGTTGCTCCGTTCCCACCCGTCTCGTCCTCCCCTCCTTCCCTCCCCTCCTCCCTCGTCGCTTGCTGTTCCGCCTCCTCCGTTCTCGGATTACCTTCGTGCCGCTCGTCCTCTTGTCCCTCGGGTTTTTGCCTCCCTCGTTACCGACCCTGCTGTTCCTGTCTCGCGTCTTGACGCGCTTGTCGCTGCTGTCGCTGACTTCGCCTCCACCCGCCGCCTTGACTACGCTACCGCTCTGGTCTCTGACCCTGCCCGTCCTCCGTCCGTCGGGGGTGCTCCTGCCCTTGGCAGTGACGTCCTAGAGGACAGGCAGTACGAGCTTGCTTTCCTTTCCGAGGCTGCTCCGCATCTCTGCTCCATGCTGTTAGTCCCTGAGGGTGACCCCGAGGCCTTCGACATCCCGACCCCTCGCACCTACGCTGAGGCCACCTCGGGACCGTGGGCCTCTCAGTGGATAGCTGCCATGGAGCAGGAGATGGCATCTTGGAGGTCCACCGGCACCTACGTCGACGCAATTCCCCCACCTGGGGTGAACGTAGTCGATGGTCGGTGGCTCTTCAAGGTGAAGCGCCCGCCTGGAG